GGGGTGGGGTGGAGGTGGGGGATGTCCCTCAGCCCAGCCTACACCCTCTCCAATCTGACTACCCACATCAGGATTGGGCCTAAACAGGCAGTCGGACATCCCTCTCACAATCCAGGACTGCTGGCTCCCAACTGCTCGCCTGCCTATCTTCCTGATTGCCCCTAACCACTTCTGCCTGCCAGTCTGATCACCCCCTAACCACTCCCATGCCAGCCGGATTGATGTCTAACTGCTCCCGTGCCAGCCCATTTACCTCCAACTTCCCTCCTCTACCAGCCTGGTCACCCCCCCCCCCCCCCGCCCTTTTTTTTTTTTTTTTTTTTTTTTTTAATACATTTTATTGATTTTACACAGAGAGGAATTGAGAGGGACAGAGAGTTAGAAACGTCAATGAGAGAGAAACACCGACCAGCTGCCTCTTGCACAATCCCCAGTGGGGATGTGCCTGCAACCAAGGTACATGCCCCCGACTGGAATCAAACCCGGGACCTTTCAGTCCACAGGCCGACACTCTATCCACTGAGCCAAACCGGTCCCGGCCAGCCTGGTCACCCTTAACTGCCCTTCCCTGCAGGGTTGATCGCCTTCAATTGCCCTTTCTTGCAGACCTGGTCCCTCTCAACTGCCCTCCCCTACTTGCCTGATCACCCACAACTGTCCTCCCTTGCAGGCCTGGTGCCTCCCAATTGCCCTCCCCTACTTCCCTGATCACCCACAACTGTCCTCCCTTGCAGGCCTGGTGCCTCCCAATTGCCCTCCCCTGCTGGCCATCTTGGGTCCACATAGGGGCAGGATCTTTGACTACAAGGGGGCAGCCATCTTGTGTGTTGGAGTGATGGTCAATCTACATGTTACTCTTTTATTAGATAGGGTAGAGGCCTGGTGCATAGGTTGGGGCCAGCTGGTTTGCCCTGAAGGGTGTCCCACATCAGGGGGGGTTTCCCTTGGGGCGAGGGGCAGCCTGAGTGAGGGGCCTGTGGTGGTTTAAAGGCCGGCCATGCCCCCTGGTGACCAAAGTGGAGGCCCTGGTATCTAATTTATATTTACTTTCTACAATTTAAAGTTTGTAGCCTGGAACAGAGCCAAGCCTCCTGCTTGCTCTGTGGCAGCAGCTGTTTCTGTTTGGATTTGTTTACCTTCTGTAATTGAAACTTTGTAGCCTCAAGTGGAGGCTTAGGCCGGCAAGGACAGGTGGAAAGCTTGGCTTCCTCTGTTGCTGGGGAAATGCCTCCCTCCTGCTCTCTGTGGCTGTAGCATCTTGGTTGGGGTTATTTGCATACTCGCTCTGATTGGCTGGTGGGCATGACTGGTGGAGTGGAGTGATGGTTAATTTGCATATTACTCTTTTATTAGGTAGGATTAAATATCATTCTAAGGAAAAATTAAATATTTAAATTAGCATGCATTTTTTAATTACATTTTATATTGTGTAATGCCAGTTTGAAATACAAATATAATAGCACTTAACTCCCATGTGAAATCACCCAAAAAACAAAATTCCAATTTTGTAGCTCATAAAATAGTCTCCTTACCCTCAGGGGATATGGTCCAAGACCTTCCCATAGCCGCCTGGAACCCTACATATACTGTTTTTCTGACATATACCTACTATGATAACTTAATTTATAAATCAGGTACAGTAAGAAATTAATAGTAATAAAAAATAGAACAATCCTAACAATACATTGCAATAAAAATTATGTAAATGGCTTTTGGGCCATTTTTATGTAAAATAAGCACTGTGAGCCCTAACTGGTTTGGCTCAGTGGATAAAGCTTTGGCTTGTGTATTGAAGGGTCCCAGGTTTGATTCTAGTCAAGGGCGCATGCCCGGGTTGCAAACTCAATCCCCAGTAGGGGGCGTGCAGGAGGCAGCCGATCAATGTTTCCCTCTTATCATTGATGTTTCTATCTCTCCCTCTCCCTTCCTCTCTGAAATCAATAAAAATATACTTTAAAAAGTAAAATAAAATAAGCACTGTGATACCTAAATAGTCCATCTCATAACTTAGATGGCTATAAGAGACTAAAGTGTGGGTAGTTGCTAGCATATACAGCACTGATATGCTGGACAAGGTGATGATTCATATTACAGGCAGGATGGAGCTAGACGGCTGGAGATTTCACTATGCTACAGTTTAAAATTCAGTAAAGAACTTATGAATGCTTATTTCTGTAAGTTTCCATTTAATATTTTCGGACCATGGTTGACCACTGGTAACTGAAACCATGCAAAGTGAAACCGTGGATAAGGAGGGACCACTGTAAACAGGAAAGGGTGGTTCCTTAAAGAACATCAAAGTATTTTAACCAGAGTAAAGTAGGCTGGATGTAGGGTAGAAAAAAAATGAATTCTTACTCTCTCTCTGACCCCAATCTCTTGCTCAACTAGTTTATCCTTCCCATTCATGCCAGAATTATTGTTCTAAAAAACTAGTTGCATCATCTAAATTCCTCTCCTTTAGCATAAATCCAAAGTCCTGATATCCAATCAAGGCCTTCTCAATATGGTGCTAACATCTTAATTTTCCTGGGCCTGTCAAACTTGACCCATTTTCCAGAGTGTGCCCTGTACATTCATGCTTTTGTACAGAACTGTGCCCTCTCATTCAGCAATGACTTTCCTGATACTTCCTGATGGAATCAAGCCCAGCTCCAATACTTTCTTTTTCAAACTAATCTTTCCTGAAGTCTCCCATTGTCATCAATTGTTCCTTCCAACAAGACAAGTAATTTGCATCTCTGCTCAGGAAGCACTCATCTCAAGCTGCCTTATGGTGTATTTACCTGCTCCTCTCCTGCATCCTTCCACTAAAACAGGGCTTTCAAACACTTTTAACAAGAGCATAGTTCACAGCAATATCAGCAATAAATAGAAACACATTTTACCTGGTGATCCAATTGGCATACTTATATATCCCTTATATTTCATTCATTTCAAGAAGTACTTTCTCGATTTTAATATATCTGAAATTAGGATGTAGCAATAGGCTATCATATTTTGATAGAATTTTCACTTTCTCAAGAGTACATAACATAATGGCATATCTTAATTGATGACATTGTAGAGTTGTTGAAATACGGTACATGATTGAAACAAAAGTCCTGCAAAAACAGTATTTACCCTTTGTCATGGGTGATGTGCTCTAATTTTTTGCTCTGTCTCATTAAGAAGAAAAGGCAGGTTATACTCCACCAAAATGAATTCATTACTCACCGATAAAGTTGTGGGAAATTACTGAGAACTGAAACGATTTACAGCCATACAATAGGATTAAAAACTAAGACGGACTTACATACTTTACAACTCAACGGTCTGCATAAACATGTCTTAAACGTCAAGAAAGTCTTGTCCAAGAAGGAGATGCAAATAATTCAATTGCAGTTTCAGGAACTTCCTCAAAGTTCATTATTCTGAACAATAGGCTACTGACTTGCCTATAGTCAGTATCTAAAAACAGTTTACTCTCTTCTAGGCTTGCTAAGACTCTCTCTCTCTCCTCCCTGGGTACAGTCATCCTAAATGATTATATCACAAATTCAGCCATGCTCTTTCATTGAAAGACCTATCTTAAACCAGATCCATCAAATCTTCAAACTGGCCTAATCTTGACCTCCCTCTTTGAGACACTACTAAGACTGGCAACATAGTGGTCTCTCTCTTACTGCTGAAAGCAATAAACTTGGCTCTGCCTAAGGGATGCACTGGTTATTTTGGTGGTCCCTGTTAGAAGTCTGGAGCTGACATTGCTCTTAAGCTCCTTGAGGAAAGGCACAGTGCTTGTTACTTAGTCTCCTCCCCCCTGCCTCCTGGTAACCCAACACTGACGGTGAGGGAGGTAAGGTGTTGTAGGAATCTGCGAGGAGCCAGAGCAGGGGCAGCGGAGATGCGGGTGAGGAGCTCTTGTGGCAGAGTGTGAGGCTGCATCTTCAAATTCAAAATCCTGCGGGTGGAACAAGCCTCCCTTTCCTCCCGGTTTTTACTCACCATCGCCTCTTCACACTTGGTACTCAGATGGTAGCGTTTTAAATATAAAAACAAAACAAAACATTGAAACGCCATCCCAACCACTTAACTTCAAGACACTACAGGATCTTTGAAGTGGTCTTTGCCTCACGCTTGAAGCTTGAAGCTGGTCATAATAATGGATATAGGCGCTGCCAAGCGTTTGGTTCTCATTCAGGAACGGTGATGAAGTCACTGAAAAAATATGTTGACCCGTGTCTCTAATTTCATGAATACCTACATAGATTTCACATAAACACCGGAAAGGTTCCTTGGACCCAACAAGCCATGATAAAATAAGTTTACATCTCAGCCAAGTGGGTCCAAGAAGGCATCAGTCCGTTATTTCCCATAACATCGCAGTACACCTCCTCTCCGCTTTGGTCACATTGGCCTCGTCCCACAGTGGGTGCAACAACCCCCACCCCCAACCTCCCCCCATTGCTCTCCTCCTCCCAGCATTGGCACGCTCCCCCACACCTCCTCAACTTAAACCCATTCCTTTGGATGGAGCCGCAGGTCACGGTGGCGACCTGACTGAGAAGCCTTCCTCCACGCCCTCAGGCAGCATGAATGGCCTTGTGAGCACGTGGCCCTCTAACAGGTGGGCTTGAGGGTCGGCTCTTGCCTTCTAGTCCATCCATCTTCAGGTCCAGCCTTGCTCGGGCCCGTCCTGGGGGCAAGGGCGAAGACCTGTCCTCCCGGTTGCCCAGGGCCCTGCATGCAGTTAGCTGCGCGGTGAGCGGTCCTAAGGAGTTTGGCACTTGGTGCTCTGGTGCTGGGGCAAGAGCAGAGCAGAGGGGGCTCCTGCCTGCCAGCCCCCGGCCCGGCCCGGCCCAGCCCACCGAGGCGGCCGCCGCGCCCGCGTGACAACGGCCACCCCGGCGTTGCCGTCACGGGCGTTGGAAATGCCGGCGCGTGGGGCGGGGGGCGGGGCGCCGTGGAGTGAGCTGTGACGCAGGGGGGCGTGGCGGGCGAGGCCCCGCCCCTCCCTCTCCCTCTCTCTCGGGTCGGGGTTACATGGCGGCGACTGCGGCAAAGCGGGAGCCTCCGAGACGCCGCTGCCGCCCGCCTAGCCGGAGACCGGAGCCGACCCTGGGGGCTTTCCGCGGGCCCCGCACGCCCTCGATGAGTCGGAGAAGTCCCGTGAGTGTGTGTGTGTGTGTGTGTGTGGACGTGTGCGGGGCGCGCCGCGGGCGGCTCGGGAGGGCGCCTCGGCGGGCCCGGCGGCGGCGGAGCCGGCTCCCTCCTCCATTGTGTGTGACCCTCCGGCGGCCGCCGCTCAACAAAGGCGCTTTTGTTCTGCCTGCCGCCCGCCCCTGCCCGCCTGCCCGCCTGCTCGCTCCCTCGCGCGCTCGCCGGCCCGCCCGCCCGCTCGAGCTCGGTCGGTGGGCCCCCCGCGCGAGCCGGCGGGCCGGGGTCCCCGCGTGGGGCCGGCGGAGCGGCCGGCGCGCCCCTCCCACCCGGCACGCCCCTCGCCGGCAGCGGGTCCCGGCCGCGCCCGCCCGCCGGCTCCGCGCCCCGCGTGCCGCGCCGCCCGACCCCTCCGCCCGCGCTTACTCCGCGGGTTCGAAGCCCGGCCCGGCGGGCTGGGAGGGGCGGCCCGGAGCCGGAGGTGGCGCGGAGTCTCGCCCGCCTGGCACGCTGCCGGTCGGAATGCTCCCGCGTCTCCTCCCCCTTCCCAGGCCAGTGACTCGGCCTCAGCTGACTCTGCTGGGCAAAGTCTTCCGGCGGCGGCGGCGGCGGGCCGGGACTCGGCAGACTGCGTAGCGCGCGCACCTCGCCGGCTCGCCGCGAGTCCTCTGCCCAAGTTTCGAGTCTGGTCACACTAGAGACGCAGAAAACTCGTGAGTCTCTGGGAATTCCTCTTTCCCTGCCTCCCTCCCCTCCCGCAGCCTTTGCTTACAGTCGCGCCCGGGCCGGGGAGCGATGGGCGGGGAGGACCCCCGTGAAAACTTGTCTTGTCGGCGCAGTGCCCGCGGCCTTCGCGGCGCGCTGCTGTCGGGCTGGATGAGGAGGCGCGTTGCAAAGTGAAGGTGCTTTGGCCGTCCTTTGTTCCTAGTTGTGTAGTTAGAATTCAGCTGGTTCAGGTGACAAGGGTGGGAGCTCTGGGAAGCAGGATCTTTTTTCTTATTCCTTTCCCGGTTTTTCTCTCGCTTGCTCATTGGAAAAAGTCCAGGGAAAGGGGACTGGTGATGTGGAATTGGAAGCCTGCTAGGTTTGCAGCAAAAGTCGTGTTTTTTTTTGTTTGTTTGTTTTTTTTCTTCAGTGCCACAAATGCCCTTAGCAGTCAGTCTCAGTATTAACTTTATTTTTATCTATTTATTGTTTTTTACGGATACAAGATGATTTGTTGAGAAAAAAAAAAAAAATGAACGGGACAAAATGGAGCGCCAGCAGCTTCAGAGTGATTTTCTGATTGCTTGATTCTTCCTGCCTTGTTATATTTTGAAGTTCTGGATGGGCATAGCCTCTTTGTTTCCACGTCCGGAAACTGAGATGGAAAGAGTAATCGGACTAGATGAATGAAGGGTCCAAAGAGGGACTTGCCTCTAGAGTTTCTCCTAGCAACGTCAGATTTTTTTTTTTTACGTTTGAAAAATAATGTTTTATTGGGTGGGAGAAACTTTATATATCCTTAGCGAGTACTTGTTCAAATATGTTTAGGAAGGGCTTGCTGTGTGCCAAGATGTGTAAAGTCCTTTCACACAAATGTATGTTACGTCACTTAAGCGTACTGCCTTGCGAAACTTGTCAAATTACTTACTGGTGTCTTAAATTCAGCAATTTGCCGTCATCCAGGAAATGCCAGATTTGAGCAGGACACGTTTTATCATCTAGATATTACTGTTCAGATTCAAAGGGGAAAAAATAAACCTTCCGGGAAATGGAGTATTGTTTTCTAAAAACGTTTACATGTCACCATATTTTGAAGTTCACCTATTTACAAAAGAGGATTAGTGTTTGATTACTTTCTGTAAATTAAGATTCTAGAGAAGATTGATTTGAAGATCTGTTAATTTTGCAGTAGAAAAAGCACATGTTCCAATGACAAGTTTAGTCCCAAATGTGTTGCAGTGTTTTGCATAAATTCATTTAAGCTTCGTGAGAATTCGTAACTGACAAAATGGAAAAAGTTTGCTGACTCAGGGTGCATTGCTGAAGGGGATAGGGTCGGGTAGGAGGAAGCTTGAAGTGCTGCAAGTTTTGAGTTGGGTGATGACTCATCCTGCCCACGGGCTGCTACGTGGCCTTTTTTTTTTTTTTTTATACTCTGTATTTTTTTAAATGATAGACTAACATGTTTCTGTCCACATTATAATTCTCTCTTTCTCAGGAGGAACCATAGTTTCTCTAAAAAAGTGATGACTTCTTAAATTGCATTTCAGAAGGTTATCATACATCCTACAGGTGTTAGAACTTTTGTTGAAAGATAAAATTGCTGGTCAGTTGCTGAAATTAAATGTTTGATCCCAACTGTCTTTGGTTCTTATTGAGAGAGATTTGTTAGAGATTATTTACAAAAGACAGATAGTACTTTTATGGTAGAAATTAACCTTATGTTTTCATTGGTAATATAAAATTATCTTTATAAAATGTACAAATTAGTTTAAATAAGTGGAAAAGGTACAGAAATATTGCATCTGAACATGAGCATTCCACTATGATGAAATCATATATAGTGCTTTCTCCAGATCTAAATGAGTTTTCAGCTTAACAATGATAGATAGGTATTGTTACAGGCACTGTTTTTAAAAACAAAATATGTATATATTTTTATTGATTATTTTTTAGAGATGGAGAGAGAAACATTGATGTGAGAGTGAAACATCCTTGGTCATCACCTGCCTCCTGCATACCTCCTACCCCAGGGGATCAAGCCAGCAACCAGGCATGAACCCTGACCCCAAATCAAACTGGGCATCCTTTTAGTGCATGGGACGACATACGACTGAGCTACACTGGCCAAGGTGGCGCTGTTTTTCATCCATTTTTTTAAAAGCTAAGCTGAATTTACAGTTCCAAATTTAGGACACACACTGAAGTTTGGTAATTAAGATATTTTGACATTCTAAAAAGCACCCGTTTAGCAGGTTGACTTAAAATAAGATTGAGAAGAAAAAAAACATTGAGACTAGCAGCTTGTTTTAAAGATGAAAAGAAAAAACTCCTCATTCCCTCACTTCTTTTTGTATACTATTTTCTCAAAGTGACTTATTTGAAGAATTTTGTGAGCAATAAAGTGTATTGTTAATGTGAAGTAATCTTTGGTGAGATTTTGGAAGAGCATTGCATAATTTATATAGAGGAACTTAAAATGGTTTAATTCAAACCTTAAAATATATTCCTACTAAAAGAATTATAAAAATACAAATATAAAAGTATTACAGATTTTAAAAGCATTCTATCTCTTAGAGGTTGAACAAGTACTTATTGTGTGTGTGTTTTTAAGATCATAGGTAATTATCTGTCGTGAATAATTCAGAATTTATAAACAAACTGGATATCTTAGCCTCTTTCCAGTGAGGTACCTTATGAAATGGTTAGCCTTACCACTGCTATGTGGTTCCTTGTTCCTATTCCCTCATGAACCATGAACCTGTTAAAAAAGAAAGAAGATGCCACAAAAGTAAATCCTTTGTGGCATTGTTGGCTGCCTCTTGTCATCTCCTTCAACTTGTTTTGTAAACTGTTACATTATCTAGCCTGCTAGTGGTATGGGGATTTTGGTCAGTTTTATTGCTCGAGAGCCATGACTGAGACTTTACAAAACCAACAATAATGTTATTGTAGTTAATGTTTTTTCCAGGGGGTTGTTTTTCATGTGGAGCTGATGCTTTTAAGGTAACAGTGTAGACTGCGTCCAGCATTGTTTTTTACCCCCTCAATGAACTGCATAGATGGAAAATAAAATGTGCCCCTCTAACAGTTTTTAAAAAGTTTGTCTTTTATATATACCAGCCTTTTAAATCCATTTCTGAAAAGTTGTACAAATATTAAGTATTTATATAGCAAACAACATTTTCTATTTAAATTTATGCCTTTTCAAGAAAAAACAGTGGTATCACAAAAATTGTTCATTCACTTTAGGAAAGAGCCTACCTCTACAGAGAGTATGAAGTCTCTGCATTTAATTCTGTACAACTGTAAAACTATAAAACATTAGTGAATATAGAAGGGTCATGGGCATTATCTTGCCCCTGGCACATCATTTGACAGCTAAAAAAAACAAAGATGCAGAGATATCTAAGCATGGGAGTTTGTTAGAAGTGCAGAATCTTTTTTTTTTTTTTTTAAACATATTTTACTGATTTTTTACAGAGAGGAAGGGAGAGAGATAGAGAGCTAGAAACATCGATGAGAGAGAAACATCAACCAGCTGCCTCTTACACACCCCCTACTGGGGATGTGCCCGCAACCAAGGTACATGCCCTTGACCGGAATCGAACTCGGGGTGTTTCAGTCCGCAGACAGCAGACCAACGCTCTACCACTGAGCCAAACCGGTTTCGGCAGAAGTGCAGAATCTTGACCCCATTTTACGACCTACTGAATTAGAATCTGCATTTTAACAAGATTTGCAGGTGATTCAAATGTACATTTCTGGGGGCACTGGTAAGTGACATATACATAGTTGCTCAGCTGATTAGTGACTGATTTGGAAAATTCAGGTCTTGAGTTGCCCTTTCCATGGGCCCTCCTGAAAAAAGTCAAGAGGAAAATTGAGGATATAATTACTGTCAAATAGGACTTTCTGTGTTGATTAAAATATTTTGTTCTGTGCTGTCCAATGAGAAAGCTGCACATAACTGTTGAGTACTTGCAGGTGGTGCACCTGAGGGACTGAATTTTTAATTTTATTTCATTGTAATTAGTTTGTATTTAAATAGCTGCATAAAGCTAGTGGCTATCATATTGGACAGCACAGATCTGGGTGATCTTTACCTACATTAAATTTAAAATAATCTAAGCTGTAATTTAATAATGATTAGGTTTAATTTAATAATTTCCCTCTTCATTTACAAATTGGAGAGATGGAAGGTTTCTACCTACCTATTTTTCTAAGATGCTCAGGTATTTTAGTAGTTATTAAAGCAGTACAAATTTTCTGATTAATACTCCTGTGTTCAATAAAGTAGATAATCTCAGTTACAAGAATG